TCATTGCACTTGAAACTCATTTGACACAAGACGGCTTTAACCTGCCGGAACGCAGCATGCTACCTTCCTGCTGTAATTGCTCAACAGATTAATGTCTTTCTTCTTTCTTTATGTTTCCGTCAAGTCGCTGTAGCTTTTTTTTTACGAATTGGCTGCTTACTGATATATTTTTTTTTAGTACTTGTCGGTTAATTGTGCTGTTAGAGTAGCTGGGGTGTGGCTCAGACGAACCCACACGGCATCCAGGAGGGACGCTCCACCATCTGGTGTAGGAATCCTCCTGGCAGCAGATGTATGTGCTACTGTGAGTGTGGATGGGGAGGTGGGAAATCATTCAGGTCTAATTACTGTAGAGCTGCAGTTTGACACTTGCTGCTGTTCGACAGGGTGGACAGAGTCCCTGTTATCACTCCTGTATGGGCAGAGGGCATGTAGGGATGGCAGCCTCATGTGTTTCCTATTTAAGGGTGTGATAACTGTCTCTGGGCTCCCTGCAAATATAAATAAAAAGGTACATCTACACCTTATGGAAAAAATGACAACCAGAATGTTCACATTTTGGACAAAGAAGATAGATGGTTTGAGAGGGGCGTGAAGGAAGCCATCTCTGTAAAGAAAGAAAAACCAACCTTAATCAGGGGGGGTGGACCCCGCCTGTGTAGCCAGGCAAACAATTCCCTTTAACCACCCCCTCTCAGAGACGTAGACAGGTATCGGGTATTACAGGCAAAAAAAACAAACAAACGACCCTCATTCCAAAGAGGTGGACCCGTTTGTTCGGTGCCAATTGCATGTTTTCTAAGCCAAAACAAGGTCCACTCTATAAAGCCACTTAAACGTTATTTCTGACATTTTGAATTTAAAAAGCTTCCTAGATGGGAAGCCAAAAATCTTTAAACTTGGATACAAAGTCCACTGGATTGTTTTTTTTTTTTTTTACTGTTTTTGTATAAATAAAAAGAAAAGTATTTCCTCTATTAGTTAAGCAGGGATGATGATTTGTCCTATTTTCTCATCCTTATGTTGTTTTAAAAGCCAGGGAGAAATTTGTTAGTAAAATACTGTCTATCTTTTACCTAAGCTTTAAGGTGTGGCTCTGGTGGATGAAAACATGTGTTTAGTTGTTCCTAATGAGACAGACAGCTGTGAGCTTTCTGCAACAGAAAGTAAAAACAAAGAAACACAAAAACAATCTTTACATCTAAGCTTTGGAATCCCATGAACACAAACTGGACTTTGTATGGATGGAAATTTTTGCCAAGTATCTGTGTCGATGTGAACAAGGCCTACATGGTGTCATAAAACTCAAGCAAGAATCTTATTTACTTTCAAATAATCTATATCAATATGTTAACTTTTTTTTTTTTACTAGAAATGATAAAACTCAGTCCATATTTCCCTGTAGTTTACTCTGAAAAAGGGGATTTGAATTAAACGCCAATGTTGGCCATAGCTTAGATTATTTAGATTGTGGCACACAAATCTGTTTAATAGCTGCATTGCAATCTTTACAAAACACTCAAAAATGCATAATTTAATTCAGCCGCTGTTCCTTAACCGTGATGACGGTCAACCCCGCCATATAAAGCTGTTGTAATGGCAAACAGTAGCCTTATTCTGTCAATTTAAGAATCCGAAGGCACCACAGACGGGACGTACCCAGGTAGCAGATTATAGCTAACTTGAGAAACACAATTGTGCAACACAACGTAAAATTTTGAGGCACACATCTTGTCATGAAATGGGACAGATGGCCCAGTATTCAAGGTTAGACAGCCAGTAGAAAAGTTCAAAACCTTTATTTAATTAAAAACAGACAGAACGGAAGCCTGCCGCTGTGGATCCGCGGCTTGCGGTGGCTGCAGGAGGGGGACGGAGCACTCTCCAATCACCCACACTCTCTGGTAACACAATTCCGTCCATCTGCATACAAAGGGATGTGATCCAGCCGATAGGATGACAACCAGGCGCAGTGTGTGTAGCCCAGAGTGTCCCTGATGCTGCAGCCTCGGAGAAGTAGCAGGAAGCTGATCCAGGTCAGGGGAAAACAGAACAGTTCAGGAATCCAGAAAACCTCCGCTCTATCAGAGGCTTCCACCCAAACAGGAATCCAGACTTCCAGGAATCCACAGAGTTTTTAGGCAGGTTCAGAGTCCAGAGCCAGCCAGGTGCAGAAGCGTGCCCACACAGACACGTACAGAAGCAGACAGCCAGGCTCAGATGCAGACGGGAAGGCTCAGTGGTCGAGGGAAGCAGAGACGAGACGTGGAACCAGGATTTCAGCAGGACTTTAAACTGGTCTCCTCCTACAGTATGAGCCAGGCTTACAGGAATGAAACTGACCCTCTCCGCGTTCCGAGCCAAAACCCTAAGGGCACGGCGGAGAATGATCAGGACGCAATCAGAGGACAAGACAATCACTAAAACCCTCTCACTTCACTGGCCGCTGAGAACCAGGACATGAACCATAGAATAAAATAAACAGACCAACTAACGGGCATAAACAAACAGACAGAAAACAGATATCAAACAAACAATGATCTGGCCCCGATCGCTCGGGCTGAACCGAATACAAAGCAAAAGCAGACACAGGCTGATGAGATGAGTGATAATTAGAAAACTGGGCAGAGTTAGGCAGGTGAGTGAAATGAACAATTAGGAAATTTGGCGTTTTTTTTTAACATGTAATTAGAACCTGTCCTGCTAGATCTTCTCTTATCCCCTGCAGATATATAAAGTTTTTTTCTTCCTTGTGTCTGAGTGTTTAACTCATTGATGCACTGAAGTTAGCTGTTGTAATCAAGTGTTGATTTGAAGCTCTTACCACAGAATTCTTGAGAATTAGTTTCACATGTTTTGTTTCCAGCTTTCTGAATATCTTTAATTCCAGCTGGGTTAAATCACGCCACGTTGACACACCTCAAACAATGAAGTCATCATCAGATTCTCCGCATTGATCATGAATGATGTGTTTCACTGAAACTGAATGATGACTTGCATTTATGCACAGTAGTTATCATGAAAGAAACGAAAGAAAAAATGATTACGGTAAACTTGAAAAGTGTTTCCTGCCCTGTAGGAATGTGAGCTCTGGTGTTTGACTCAGCTGACTGGTATGTGGACCTGCACCTGCTTTGCACCGCCTTTCGCTGAGATGCAATGCCAGTCATAGTTGGTGGATCATTACCGGTGAAAAATGAGAACCCTTTCTCAGTCTTTGTCCCTGAGATAACTAAGCTTTAGATATTCAGGGGGGTGGGGTTGTGCAGACTTTGCTTGGTGAAGGAAACGGGCAGATGTTCATGTTTCTGCTCCGTTTTCATGAGCTCTGTTGCAATCCCAAACCCAGTCTGCCAGCTGCATCGCCAAGCACATCACTCTTTGTTTGGACTGCTGGAATTTTTAGCATAGATAATATCCTCTCCCCTCTTTCCTTATAGAACATAAAACTTTCAAGCAGGTGCGCTCAAGAGAATCAGCATTTGCTTGACTTGCTGCTTTGTCTTTGCAATGAAAATGGAGCCATAAGGATTCTCTGAGTTCTGATCTCATCTTCATCCCCAATCTTCTAATATTTATGGTTTGTTAAAAACGTTATGAGATTTCTTCCTCATGCCTTTAATTAAACAAACCATGACCACTGATATTTGGCTTTTTGCATTGATATGCTGCTGCTCTGAGATTAACTAAACACAAGGTGCGAACCAGTTCAGTTGGTCCTGAGTTACAGTAACGGTCTGAACTTCTATTCCGGTTTTATTTAGTAAAGCTAAAATATTTTGGAATTTGCTGCATTAATTCTTCCCAGAACAGTTTTACTTGAATTACAGTTCGTTTCAGGAGATTACATGACAAAAATTGTGGTTAAAAACCCTCAAATTTCACAGTTTAAAGTATTTAGAGCTTTAACACTGCATGCATTTTTCTGGGATTTCATTGCGTTCATACATATCAATAAATCCAACTTGCACTGGTATACTCCTGTCACTCTATAATGGGTGTGCAAAGCTTTTAAGGTTTAAGGAACATATGCTGCACTCCTACATCCAAAATTAATCAAGCTGAAATGTTGTGTTTTTTTTTTTTTATTGTGTCAACAAATTAGTGCACTCATCATGCATAGTGTTGCATCATGCAACACTATGCAAACACTCTGTCTGTACTAATGAAGATTATGTTACTTTACAGGGTTCTCACTAGGGTTTTCTATGAGCGGGGGGGTTATGCTATGCTTTACCTGTATTGTATTTCTTTTTTTCTTGTCTCATTGCTAATTAAGGCCACTCCTTTTTCTAGCTTAATTAATAGCAGAAAAGACAGAGTGCATAATGGCCTAGTAGAACCTCTGCTTTGCATAGACATGGACTTCACCGTTGATTCTTCTTTACTATCTCATTTGTTTTATTAAGTACAGAGACAGATTTCTGTTTGATTTTGTTTTAAAAGCAAGAGCCAATCACACGAAGGCCTGTTCCACTTTCAAGATACGGTTATTACAACACAATATGTCATTTAGACTGTAGATAGTTTAAGATAAAGCTAAATATGAAAGGATTTCTTCTATAGGGAATAGAAGTGAATGACCTTTATGTTACAAACCTGAGCTGCTTGCTGAAAATCTCAGATATTTTCCGATCCAGGGGCCCCTCACAAAATGACAGGGTTGTCTTGTTTTTGGGTTATTTTTTTTTCTTGGTTATTACTTCACCCAGATAAATGTTCTTAAGCACAGTACATTGTGGATTTCCAAAGTGGGTCATCTTTAAGCTTCGCCCTATATGGCAGCCAGCAGGACAAAAAACAAATCCCACTTCTCTTCATGGATTAGTATACCTGAATGACAGCCTCTCTGGGCTGTCTTTAGCTGTCAGAAACCACAAAAGGATTCATAAAGCCAGAAAGGATCTCCCTGTTTGTCTCATGGGCTTCAGAGGTTGTTATTAGGTGTCATATTATGCCTTGAAACCACATTCATGTTTTCTACTCATCTCTGTTTGCAGGTGTTCTGCTCGACATCCAGCAGCACTATGGGGTTACTGACAGCGGAGCCGGCTTGCTGCAAACAGGTAATTTTCATTTAATCTCCTAATTATTCCTGGAAAAAAATGTAAGCTCAGGTCTGAATGCATCCACTCTGTAATGACTGTAATTACTGTAAAATTGTCATTTTAAAACTATGAGCAGCTGCTTTTGATCTTAGCAGCTAAAAACCAAATTGCTTTATAAATGCTTTTAAAGATGTTTAAGATTTGATCCAAAATACAGTTTAAAATATTTACACCAGTTTGATAAACTTCCATTTACTCCCGTAGAGGTTTGATAAGTATAGGAAAAAGGAGGGTTGTCAGGGTTAACACATTAATCAGGATTAGGTATATAGAATCCATAACACATTTGTTTTTTTTTAAGTGCATTTCAAGTATTTTAAAAATTTTCACTTTTTTTGCTTTCACTTTTCAAAATAAAGTGGGACTTCTGAAGTACTGTGTATTAAAGCTGACATTAGTGCTAGATTTCCCTCATTGAGCTCAATGATAATGACAAATACTTTAGAGATGTTAAAAAGCTCAAAATTTAGATGAAAAACAACAGTTTTAATATTTTTTTATGCTAAACAAATAAACTTGGTAGAATAAATAAAAACACTTAAAAGCCTAAAAGTAGAGAAGATTTAACACACAGGTCAGCCTCAGCTGACCTTTGGAAGTATGTAGCAGGATGAAAATGAAGCTGCTTGTGTTTTACTCCACACCACTGGATCCCATGCTGACTGAAGCGACAGACTTGTGGGAGAAGCATTTCCTCTCTGCAGCGTCAGTGCGGCCGGGCAGCAGAAAGGAAAACACAGCTCCTGTATGCGCGCTTCCAGGGAGTCTGACGACTCTGGTTTGGGGCAGGGTTTCCTGCGCCGTTCAGTACCCCCAAAAATAAATCCACCTTTTAAGGAGATACCGTCCAAAGCCCACTTATTGCACGACAGGACCTCGTCTTGTCTCTGCTGTGTACTCAGACTCGCTCAAGCGCCGACAAACTGGCACACAAAGCGGCATTGAGGACAAGCAGGCAGATTTAGGTTGGAGACGGCAGAGAACACAGTCCAGTGTTTTCCTCCACTAAACTTGGTTTTCCTAGGCTAACTTTGGTTGAATACAAAAATATCCAGCAGGAAAAGTAAAGAGCGTTTGGACTGAATGAGCCACTTCTCCACTTCTCCCATTCACACCTACACTTATCTGATTTTGCCTGATTCTTTATATCCTGCAGTACCTTTGACACTTCAGGTGAATTTTTTTACATAGGTGCCCTCAGGTCTTGTGAAAGGGTCAGGATTTTTTTTACTATTAATTCTTTTTTTGGCTTGTTATGTCTGCTGAGTACAAAACCATATTAGCAGTTAGTTTGTTGACTTGCAGAGACAGTTGATTATCTCTCTGCAGTTAATAAAATCCCCGTAAGCATACTTTAAAGTGTTGCTCATGGCCTATAGGTTGTGTCTGCCTGGCTCTCTGAACTCCACTTGGCCCCTGATAGCCAGGTGACCCGTTTCTCGCACCGGAACGAGGAATTCTGCTGGTCGTGGGCCTTGAGCTCTGAGAGCGGAGGGTGCGGACCCCAGACCTAGGTGTGAAGAAAAGGTTTGGAGGGTGATGTAACGCAGGAATTGGAAGACAGAAAGTCTCAGCTCACATGCATGTTTCCAGTTTGCACATCCGGTGTCTCCTACCCCCAGCCTCCTTCTGTAGAGGGAACAATCCCCACCTCTGTGAGCACCTGGCTGGTTCTGCCTTTCCTCACTTCCCTCCACCTTGGCAGCTCAGGTCCACCTGGGAACGCTGGCTCAAAGTGTAGGTGTTTCACAGGCGGTGGGTGTTTTGTCTGCACCGGGGCTGTTACTCATTCTCTGCTGCCAGGTCAAACTGACCACAACGTCACAGACTAAGCAAACAGATGAGTCAGAATCCCGTTACGTGCTTCAGCAAGAAATCGATTTTTGCTATTTTATTTTAGCTTTCCTTTATTTTCGGAGTGGAATAAGAAAATTCCCTTATCCTGAGGTCACTGGAAACATGTTTGTTTGAAGGAAATGCGATCTTAAATGAGCAATGCTGCAGTTTCTTGGATCTGCTGCAAAGTTTATGTTCCTTCACCAATCTTATCCAAAGAAACTGACTTCTAAGCCTTTCATTCATCATATTTTGGAAGGGAAATGGTAAAATCTCACCACAGGCCTTCCATCGGATTTAGAAATAATTGCATATGAAGAGGGTCTGACATCAACTATCCCACCGCAGCTCTCTGCTTCAATCTAAACATCTTTTTTAGCTTACATTTATTTTTTTATTCCTTTTTTATTATATTATATTATTCATGATTTCCACCTTAGCATGATGCTACCACCACCATGTTTCCCTGTGGTTCCCAAAAAACAAACAATGCAATAGGTTGGCGATCTCCTAATAAATAAATAATCACCCAATTATTTCACTCTGTCTTTATTTATGTCTTTATTTATGCCTGTCAAGTTAAGTAATAATATTAACATAAAAAGATGCAGTTTTTTCATTTTAATTCACAAACATCCGGCTCATTCTGTTGCTTTGTAACATGAAATCCCTCCACAATGCAACCATCAACGGCGAGCTTAATGCTTTTGTTTTTAATTAGTGTTCACCAGGCGTTGTGTAAATCCGTGTTTGCACACTCAGGAACAACAGCTGGAAAATACCCTGTGGTCAGCTCAGCCTCTGCATGTAGTTTGCTAACAAAGATGCTCCTAAAGCATCTGACACAATGCTAAATGAGAAGGTATGTGCTCACCTTTGACAGAGGAGGTGCGTGTACGTGCACATGGTCCTTACTGCCTGAGGGAGCCACGTCTCAGCTCTCGTTGCTAAGGGAGGATGTTTTGGTAGCTGTCCGTCAAGTCAGAGCAAAGGCATGCTGCAGCCTGGAGGGTTGTGGCCCCCCCGACCAGCCGATCGGGCCCTTCAGAGCACCAGAACAGACTCTGCTGGTAAAATACGGAATGATGTTTTTGTGTGTGATGCCTCAGGGTCAGGCTATCTAAAATAACTGTGTCTCGCACATGTGTGGAGAGGACGGCCCTTAGGGTGCAGAGGGCATTGAAGGTTAATGGAAGAAAGGAGAAGGAGCAGGGGGGGGGTTCACCTGGATGGTATTACCTTCTAAGGAGGGGGGGGATCCTTTTGTTAAATATACATAGAAATCTGAGAGAGCAGCATGCATCCTCCTGGTAGCATAGTACGGCTATTGTGTCCAAGCGCTTCGAGGCAAACTAGAAGTTAATGAGTCAAATTATCTCTCATAATGGAAGCTGGCATGATAATTATGGCTCCCTGGTTTAGCATGGAAGGCAGAGTTATTGGGGTCAGTGCAGCTGGATATATACAGTAGAGAGGCAGCCTAATCAGGGGCCTGAACAGCTCACAGGCTGCTGGCTCCTCTGTGTGCCTCCCTAACTTCTCTGAAACACGATATCAACAGAGAGAGAGAGACGAACACAGACTGACACGATCTTGACAGGGTGTCAGTCTGACACAGCAGCCACAGACCTGTGGGAAATGAGGCCACAGTCACTGTGTGAGACTAATAGCCTGAGTTTTTCACACACATCCCCACATGTTTCCGTGGTACGAGCTGCACACAGGAGAAATTACTAGATGAATCAAGAGAACGAAGAGCGTTGATCTAAGAAACACAAAGTCAAGGAGCACATGGCAGAAATAAATGGAAAATCAACAGAAAGAAGCTGATATTCCTGCTCTGCTATTCTGGATGTTCCCCTTTTCTAAAATATCTACCAACTAGAGGTCGACTGAAGCGCGTAATTTAGGGCTAATATCGAATTTTGACATTATTCTAAACCATCCCTACTTGGTGTACTGATTTACGAAGCTGAAAAAAAGGGTTTTCTCCTTCTCTGTTTACATGATAGGAAATGACACCATTTTTAAGAAATGATGCACAAGTCTCCCTTTCATCAAAAAACACTTTTATTACAAATAAAAACTACATGAAGAATGGGTTAGAAATGGAGGGAGGGGCAATGCAGGTCACGCCCTTGTCATGATGACACCAAATTTAAGCCTCATACCCTCACAATAAGGCTACTGTCCACCATTAAAACAGCTTCATATGGAACGATAGACCATCCCTCATCTATAGATTTTGTCAAATGTTTCAAAATTATTTTGTGGAGATTTTTCTGTGACCAGTTAACAGCTTAAGGCATTGCTGCTGCATGCACTAATGAAAGGGTTATGACGTGCAGCTATCAGCTGATGCCGCACAGGATATCAGAAATACTGGCCAAAAAGATCAGCCAATCAATGTATCAGTCTCCCTCCTGTACGATGACTCCATGCTACCATTCTCCATATAACCAGTAGTCAGTAGATGCTACCTGGAGACCATCATAGCCGCCCTAGGAAACCCTTTCCAGTTCATGCATAAAATAATCAAACATTAAATGTGGCCTAACAGATGCAAAAAAAAGTCAAAGTGAAAATGTTTCTGCATGTGCAACAAACTGGCCAGCAGGAAAACATTGAAGTAGTAGACTTCAAAAAGATTGAACCACAGTTTCTAGAAATGCCCGATTTAAAATTAGGCAATTTATTAAAAACTTGCTTAACTAATTAGCTTCATACATTATCTGCAGCTAGCTAGAACCAAATGATCCAGCTTCAATACAAGCATGGCTAAAGAAACGAGGGTTTGTTTGTTTGTCCCTTTGTTATTATGTACTTTTCTAGGTTTCTAGATCTAGTTTACAGCATACCAAGCAGGCAACAGTCTTTAACAAAGTAATCTGTACTAGGGCTGAAATAATGAATCGACTTAATCATGATTACGGTAACTGATTATTGAAATAATCAACTAAATATGCCTTTAGCTGACAGATAAACCCACTTAGAGCAGAAATTATATCAAAATTGTAGAAAAATATCTAAAAATTTTGTATTTAAATTTAAAAAGATGTTTCTGTCTCTCAGTATAGTCCATCCAGAACTCCTAAGGTGGAAAAGTTTGAGTTTCACCTGGT